GACCTGGTGCATCGAATGTGCCAGATTTAATTTCGGCTTTTTTTATATTCAACGTGACACATCCGGAATTCAAATGAACTCGATATAATGCTGCTACGCGATCTCATGGCCCGCAACCATTGCTCTTTATTTTTTGTCTGAAATGCAGTCAAAATTCTTTTATATTTGACTGCCGCGTGCGTTTTGTTTCCTACTCGTTTTTTCTCGTGCTCGGTTGTGGCACTTACTTGCATTTTGGTTTCTGTATAAATTTTTATAACAATAAAATTAAGACACTGCAAATGATAAATTTTTATTACATACATATATACAACAATAATGTATTTCTTTCTGAATTAAATTTCATGTAGCTATTGTAGCTAATGCTCATGTAGCAACAGATAAAATTCTTAATTTTTTAAATAAGTTTTATTTTAAGAAATAAATAGAATAGAATTTTAATGAAAAAAATTAATTTCAAAATTAAATATTAAGAAAAATCAAAGAATTTCTAAAAAAAAATTGATAAAACCAAGCAATAAAGCCTTATAATAAATTCGAGATTAGTTTCATGTGTAAGTTACTATTATATTGCTATGCATAGTGAATGAAACAGCGATTTACAAGCGTGTAAAAAATGCTTGCTTGTATTTTGCATGTATAATTAAATCCGAATCAATAATGTGCAATATTATCATAAACATACAGCTCTTCCGACATTTTCAATCTGTTATAAACATCTGTACGCAGAATTGCTACCATTTCCCTTTATCTGTAATTACTTAAATTTTCACAACTTTTTCCATTCATTTCACAACTTTTATCGTTTTTTTAAAAAAATCTTAAATAAATACAAGTACATTATGTTATAATCAATAATGTTCAACATTTAAAATTTAATAGAAATTAAACTTAAAATTAATATGATAAGCAAGTCTTTATATAACAGGTAACTTGATTAATTAATAAGACCAAGATTCTGTTAAATTAATTTCAGATTCTAGAGTAAGTATATGTATGTTATTTTTTTTAACATAAATGTACAATTATAAATAAAAAAAGCACACGAAAGTCGATAATTAGATATTTTATTTAAACTATCTTCAGCAACATTTAACATAGATTAACGCAAATTAGCGTAATTAATACGAATTGCATTATCAAATTAATTCCGTCACAAAATACAAAATATATAATGTATACCAATTTTTCATAATTATACTTTGCGAATTAGTGTTTTACTTTTAATGCTAATAAACCTCATTAAAAGTGACTCGCTTGACAATATCGAATAGTTATATTATTATTCATGTATTAATCTCATTGATTGAAACGGCCAATCAGGCTAATAATAATTTTATCGCCAATTTTATAATATTTGTCATTCGCAGAGATATTTCATTTTTTGAAAATATTTTTTTGCCCATTTAAAAAAATGTGTTAAATTGATAGTCGAATTGACCCTTTTTTGCGATATTGATTGATTTTCTCGTTTTGTTCATTTCGGACTACGCAGAGTAATTGTCAGCACAGGGATGTTTTAACAGCTTAAGAATGTTTTAAACAATGTTAGATTATCGTGACTACGAGATTAATTTGCATATTTGATTTTTATATATAACATTAAAAATTAGACAGTGCATTTGTGATGTCTAATATTCTTTTAATATAACTGTTAATAAAAAAAGTAAAAGTTTGTAATATAAGTTTGTAATAAATATTTTGTTTCTATACAAACATTTAAAAATGTAAAAAAATATTGCAAAAACGAGCGAAAGCATTGGAAAAAAAGATCGATAGCAAAACATTCAAAGAACTCAATATCTTTGTTTAATAAAATAATGCAGAAAAAGTGAAGATTTAGTATCATATAATATTATTGTAATACCGCCACCTTTTAAGGTGCTTTGTATCTCGATCAGAAGTTTAATATTTGAATTTAAAAGCCGTTTTACTTTCAGTATGCACAGTTTGCAAATAGCTGCACCACTCAGCTAAGTATAAACTCCAACCAAACTCCAAAGAAACTAGCATTTGCCGGCATGAGAGAGAAATCTCTTTGCACAATTTACGACGGCTTACTAAATATTTTACGGACTAACATTTATCTGCCGATCGTGTGTTTGGTGACCCCGTGTTCCAAAGTTTCATGCAAAAAGTTCAACAATGCTGTTTTGCGTGAATGCACTTTTTTCTGAAATACATATACATTCGTCTGAAACAAGAATTTACCTCCAAAATTTATTTGAAGTGAAATCCATCGATACTTTTCTGTCTTAATAAAAATTAATTTATTTAAATTGTAAAAAAAAGAGTGCAAAAACCACAAAAAAAATACCATTAGAATCTCGTTTAACTATATTATTTTACTATTTAATAATATTTTGTATTATTTATAATGATTAATAAAGATTTATCAATATTTAAGAAAATTCAAAGAAATACCGTTTGAAATATTGTTATTGAATATATATGTTAAAAGCAATTTGCTCGTAAATAATAGAAATATTTTATTCGTACGGAATTGCGGCATTTAGCAGACCTTTATTTTTCGTCGTTCGATTTTGTTCATATTTTACGGAACGCGAGAGTTCCATCATAATATACTAGCAATTAGAGAAGCGAGACAATTGCGGCAACCGCACACCGAACCCGTGCTGGGCGTATCTGCATTTTGCTGCGTTTGATTAATCGACAAGTATTTAGGCAGTGAATATTTATGAATTTCATCTCTCATTCTTTCCCATCAACGGTTTGCATTGTTCTTTAGTGCACTCGACGCCATCGCGCGATGCGCTTTCGTGCGTAATCCACTGTCGGCTGTATTAAGCAGCGTCGTCCTTTACATACGGACGGACTTTACATATGTACTTTACAAAGATAGGATGTTACATCGAAAGTACAAAATCTGTATGTAGAATCTATATATAGAATCTATATATAAAATATCTATATATAGAATATCTATATATAGAATATCTATCTATATATAGAATAGCTACAAAGCATTTCGTGATAAAAAACATACGTTTTATAAAATATTTTCATTAACGTTATCAGGAGACACGATAGTGTCTCGGGTGTCAAGTCATGTATCAATCGAGAACACTACCGTGTGACTTTACGCGAGTCTGCGAGATGCGAGCATCCGAAATTATCGGATCTCAATAACAGATAAACCGATTAAGTTCTAAGTAAGCTTGCTGATCGATAACTTGAGTTCGACTTGCATAATGAAATTTATTTATTAATATTAATATTTTTTTATGTAATATTAATATTAATATTTTTATTTTCCTGCTAAGCGCCCTATGAGCGGAGATAGGGCTTGCTACGCAAAGTCCGATTTGGAAATTTTTACTTTTTTAAGAAACGTCGTCATTATCGTTCTTCAGTACGACTGCAATGTCTGTCGTGAGATGTCATTATTAATCTTATACCCAGTGGATCATCAGACTCAATGTCGCTAGATCCTGCATTGACTCTTGTCGGCCTGATTTATCCTTTTTTTTTTTCAACCGTCCACTATACTTGACACCCCTTTTTACCTTTTTTTAAAAAAATAATTTTATAGTTATTATCACGACAAATTATTATTACAAATATATTATAATTTATAAAAGACTTGACAAGTTTATTTAGTCACAAGAATAGATTTATTAAAGATATATTGTAGAAACATATTACAACATATAAAAATATATATTAAAAAAATATAGTTTAAATTTTATTAAAAATTAATACATAATGAATACAAACGTTTTCTTCGATAAATACCTAATAATTAATGTAGATATAAAGTACTTTTCATTTATATAGTTCCGTTAATAAATTTAAATTTTTATATATTTTTCACATATCAAATATATTTTATAATTTTGAGATAATTCTCGATTATATTGATTAAAAATCATCCATATAATATCTTTACTTGAATTAAATAGATTTAAAAATATTTTAAATATATTGCAAAAATTGAAAGTTGTAGATTATACATGAATACGTGATTACAATGAATAATAATATCAAATTTGTTTATCCTTGGAAAAGAGATAAAATATTACAAAAATAACAATTTAATGTATATATGTTTATATATCTTCTTATTTTATATATGAGTCATTTTAGTATTGTTTATTTGAAAGTCTTTGAAGTTCTACGAACAAATTGTTAGTTTCTTTTAGATATTTTTGTGGAAATATCGTTTTTATCGTCTGCGGAATATGACAGAAAGAAGATGACAAAAATTTCTAATTTGCCAAATTTCTAATAGTATATATCTAATATTTTAATCACCTTCGTCAATTTGTTTCAAGAAAATTCATATTGTCACGTTGCAGGTAACATATTTTTAATTCTCAGATTATAAATATACAAATATATTTTATTTGGGCACTCATATTGATTAACGATGGGTCAACCGTTCAGCTTTCTTTTTCCAATTAAACATTTATAAAATTGTTCTCTATTTGTTTGTTTACAGAACAAATTTTATGCTATCTATATCAGAAATTTGAGATAGTCAAGAAATTAATTCAAAAACTTCTTTGATATATAGAGGATATAAATGGAGATTATTTTCGATAACGAGTGAATTAGGAATTAGTTATCTTTGTGCAGTCAGAGTTTTATTTGTTATAATTTATATATTACAAAAGTAATAAATATATAAGCTGTAACAGATCATGTGATTCAACAGACAAGAGAATTATTTTTGAAGAGCAAGTCTGAATTTCTGCGGATTAGCATTTGATATTACGTCAATTGTCCAAGTAATAAGAATTTTTTTTTAAAATGAAGGATTTGTACAAATTCAAAATATCTGCACCAGGGACCATATGCTTATACGGACATCCCATATTGGGACATGAGAGACCTTCCATAATAGCTGCGTTGAAAGAGCGTATCAATCTTGAATTCTCTTCGTTACCTCGAAAAGTAAATAAAGGGTATATCAAATTAGCATTTACGGATTTGAAATTATCTTTGAATATATCTTTATATGCACTTTTCAAACACTTTCGTTGCTTTCGTATGCAAAATGTTAATAAAGGATTTCATTATACATTAATTAATAACATAAACCGTTTCCTTGGATCATTAAATATTAACAACGGCATTTACGATCTCGGAAACATAAAGGCACGGCATTTATCCTTAAGAGCATTCTTATATCTGTTCGTTTTTGTTACTTACAAAGAAAATATTGAAATGACAGCAACTATTAACGTGAAAATATCATCGGATTTGGAGATGGGAAAGGGTCTAGGCAGTTCAGCAACATTTGTCACGTGTCTTGCGGCGTGCTTTTTTCGTTGGTCACTTCTGCAGAAGGGAATTGTTCGCAAATTTAATGACGATGATTTCGAGAAAATCGTCTATTACGCTTGGAACTGCGAAAAAATAATTTACAATGGTCAGTGCAAGTCTAATATTTATGGATCTATACATGGCGAAATAATGTTGGAAGGAAAGGATTCTCCTTTATGCAAAATGGATTCAGTACCGCCTATGCATATTTTGTTAATTGACACGAATATTAATCAGGAAAAGAAAACTGTGCAAATGGAAGAGATGCATCATTTATGTCCATGTACAGATTTCATTGTGATTAGTATTGAAAGTATGTTTCCACAACTATTTACTATATTGCTTGCTATTTGCGGGGTATATGTAAATCAGCGTGAAAACAATATTGAGAGGAATATTCAATTTGCAGAATTAGATGATTACTATGAAAACCTATTGGTAGGTTTTATATTAAATTTTTTAGTTTTTTTATGTTATACATGTTGCTTGTGTGTATGCCTTTTTTTTCAAGACTGTATGAAGTCATTCTTTGTAAATTTTCATTATCTTAACATGCGCTTTCAGAGTTCCATCAATAGAAATCAAAGTTTACTGAAGGCATTAGGCTTGACAAATCAAAACATAAATTTAATTTCCGCAATTGCACAAAAATATTTATGTGGTTGTAAGATGACAAGTACTAGTGGATACGTATTCATTCTCCCATTACCAACTAGCACATCTCAACATATGGAATTAAAACAGGAACTTGAATCTTACCATTTTTCCGTTATTCAGACCTATATAAATTGTAAAGGACTTGCAATTGATTAATACGTTTATTATTTACAATATATAGAAGAATTGTGACAATAGAAGAATTATAACGAATATGAATAATTATTATAGGACGCTTTTATTCAATATATTAATTATATTTTCTTTATTATACTTTTTTTGACAAATAATGGCATTGAATATATGTATATATAAATTAAAAATAAAATAATTTTTATTTTTCCTATTTAATGTGTAATTATTAAATACTTTGATACACATGCATTATGTAAGAAGAAAATGTTGTGATGTTCTTAATGTGGAACGTATAATTTTTGAGTCTATTATCAAATCATTATTAAAAATCTATTAACTCTCATAAAAATCCCTCAAGCTGTTTAATTACAAAAATATTTTTAATTAAATATACTCAATATTAGATATTATTAGAAATATTCAATTTAAATTCCAATTTAAATTTTTATCTTTGTTAATATTGTAGTAACATTTAAAAAAGTAAAGTACCTTTTATAACATCATTTAATAAAAAGGAAATAAATTATTTTTGTTAGAAAAAAGTAATTTAACTTTAACAATTGATAGATATTATAAATTAGATATATCTTTCTTCTTTTCGAAGACATCGTAATATTAAAAAGTGAGAGAATTAATTATTTAGCTTACTACATTTTAAGTCTGTTAGAAGTAATGATATGTAGTTAGTGGCAAAAATAGACGCTATTGAATTCGTATATAAATAAGGATTATTAAACACTGAGAGCCAATCCTGAACGATGAAAATGCCAATATTATCGATTTCTATGTTTAAATATATCATGATACATTATTTATATACTTATGTATTTGATAAAATCAAGATAAAACTAGATTATGAATACTATTGGTGATTACGATTTATGCACATGATTATAAAACAAGTTTATTATTTTATATAATAGAATAAAAATAATCTGTTATTAAAAGAAAATCTTTTTCAGCAAATTTTTTTTCTTAATCTTTAATAATTGAATAAATACATTATTTATTAAAAAAAAACACTTTACAAAATTGCCGTAACAATCAATTATTATAGTTATTATTTTTATAACATATAATTGATTGTACCTATTTTTTATTATTTTAGTAATTTTATTTAAAAAATTTTTTTTCTATATTTTTGTTATATTTATTTTAATGTTTTCTTTAATAATATCATAAAGCAGACATGCACAAATAATTTTTTTATATTTTTTAAATTGATAGAAAAAATAAAAATATAAAAATATAGATAGATGTAAATAAATAGAAAAATATATATAGAGAATATATATAAAAAAATATATATAGATGTAAATAAAAAATAACATTTTGAAATAACTTCATTATATTATAAAAAATCGCGAATTTAAAAATATTTGAAGAAAGAATGTTAAATGCACATACTTACTCCAGTTATGCCGCAGTGAAATATGCATCTTCTTCGTAAACCGACGCGTATTTACGTAATCGTAGATATTTCATGCATACGTTCCTTCGATCGTATTGAATTTTACGTAGAATTTCCTACTGTGCTCGTGCTCTGCACCTAAATTCTATCCTACGTGCACATCAATCCTGGAAGTACGTAACAATAGCGAATATCCTTGACATAGAACAAAGAGCTTTTTGAGGGGAATGATTAATTTTATTCTATATAGGTTTTTCTAATATCAATTTTTTGCAATTTTTTATTAAATTTATAACATAAAATACTTGATTACTTTTTTCATTTATAAACATGCAAGATATAATTCAGATTTATGGAAAGATAATTAAACATTTATATATAAAATAATAACAATTCATCTTTAGAATTTTCTTTAATAAAAAATATACGTAAGAATTTTATGCAGCAATAATTATTAAGACAATAATAATGCAAACTTTAATTTATTTTGAAAAACAAACATTAATTTACTTTGCAAATCATTGGATAAATTCAAATTTAATATTTTATTATCTTTTTGGTAATGAGGTAGAGTATTCTTTAACGCATGCATGTGCTTCCAAATTGTTTATTTAATAACTGACAATTGCTTCACATATACAGCTTTAAAGTGAGCGCATCCCGTTTAGGTACGATTAATTCTCGATTCGTAATTTACAGCAGTGATGTAAGTGCGAGGGGACCTTATCATATCACTTAAGACTTAACTTATCGAAGTATGGTTTTATATATAAACAGCTATACAACTTATGACTAATTAATATTGTTTCTTTACATAATTGGTCCGAGCAACATGCTAGGTTTGTAACGCTTCATTTATATTCGATGTTTATTATTATTTACATACGAATCCAATTAAAAACAAATGTTGATCTCAAATTATTTTTGTCGTGTAGAATATTTCATATATCTGATCTACTTTTGGTTTAACGTGTAAACAGTTAACTATACCAAAGTTAAATACAATATAATTTGTTATTTCAATGCATATTGATATAATTAATAATTTCTCTTTAGTCTCAACATGAATATTCCATACAATAACAGTTAATAACAAGTGATAAAATATCATTTACATAAATAATAAGTCAATATCGATTCAAAATACTACTTCTTATTATTTAATTCTAAAAAGTACAATAGATACTTCCGTTTCTAGTATAAATTTAAGTAATAAAAGAATTTTGATTAAATAATTATAATTAATTTTAATGATCATAAGCTATAATTTTAAACACCTGCAATACTTCCAAGATTTTAATTTTTTAAAAGTAAACGAAGAAAATATTTTCTGTCACATAAGTAATACTGCAAATTGGTTTTATCGCTCGATTACGTATATCTCAAATAGTTTGAATTTGAAGCGAGTTCTAGAGAGAACATTGACCATCAATGATCGTGTTGTAAAGCCACGAAGATGCGTACATAGAGTATACGAGAGAAGTACAAATTCCCTGGACTCGACGGCAGATCTTCATCTCGACCCCGTTTTAATAATTGTCATAAAGTTTCCGAGACGTGAACGTAGTCTCTATTATTACATAGAACATCCTGTTTACGAGAATCGCGCGCTCCGGGTGTTGTACAACTCTCGTTGATACGCTCGATGCGTCCATTCGCAATAACGGGCTCCACATGACGCTTGCACATACGTACGAAAACTTCGCCGACGTTGATTTCTGTGCCAACATAATTGAAGACTTAAAATTTTAGTGTCGCGCGATAAACCGAGCAGAAATTGCATTTTGCAAATTCACTCGTCCGGCCTGCAAAAGTGTGTCACACATATGTCGACACATTTATTTTACGAGAACAGATTGAAGAGTTATTAAGTTACAAAAATAGTCTGCTCAAGATTTTAAATAATAGAAAATTATAATTCAATTCAATTTAATAATTATTATTATGAAAATTAGAATAACCATTTATAATAGAACTTGTATGATTAAACTAAAAATAATATTAACAGTTTTAATAATAATAATCAATCACAAAATTTAATATTTAATTTTAACGTTAGTTAACTCAATAACCTTATTTTAACGTTTTAAAAAGTTAATAAGTGCTTAATAAAATTTTCAATATATTTTTTCAGATTTAGTAGACATAAAATCTATATTTAATCGCTTTGTTAACCGTTTAATATTTTATTCATTTAATATTCCCTTCATTCTTTGAAAAAGTTAGAAACTATATTTGTTGCGCCTTCTTGTTTATCTCATACAGCTTTGTACGTTTCTAATAAACGTGGTACAATTCAATCTGCTTTTCAATTTAGCGTTTCGAATTGGCGCTGACGAAAACTTGATTCTACAACTAAAATTTGCCTCGCGAAAGGTATTTGAGAAATGCGATTGGTACGATCGCGTACGGAGCCATGAGAAGAATGTGCAATTGCAACTGGTCAAAAAGTGACCCAAATCGGCCAGCTCGATGCGTTGGCGCGAGTTCGACGATCGTCGGACCGCGCCGTTTAAACTTCGTCAGCCGGTCAGATTTTTTTTACATGCTATACAGAAGTAGAGCATGCGGGGTAAAAACCGAGCATGTAGCCACCGGAACTGCAGGATTTATCACGAACGCGACTGCGCGCACACGCGTAGTCTGCTCTTGAGAGCTGTGCAAACTTAGAATTTTCGCGATTGAGCTGTTCGCTCAGCTTTGAAATTTTCCTACAATTTCTATAAAGGTATTTCATCCTTTATATTATCCGTCATTTTTCCTTTTCTTTTAATGAATTTTGCAAAATTTTGAATAGTTGAATAGTTTATGTCACAGCTGTCACACTTCCACAGTTAGAGCATTTCATAGAGCAATTTCTATCGCCGCTAAATGTTGCATGGCACGAATCGTAGCGACGTCCGAAAACTCGAAATTTCTCTCAAATAAGACATTGAAATTTAATATTAATAATTAATATTAATAATTTTTTTCCATGTCTTCAATATTAATATGTAATGCAATATATTTATACGAATAATATCTGTTATGATTTCGTCATCATTGTTTAATTCATTAATTATCCAATTCGTTTTCAACTGGTCACATAAAAAAATTAATCAATTTTCATCATCACTGACAAATAATTAATTGACACTTAAAATCAAATTATACTAATTATAATTCAAATTTAATTATATTTATAACTAACGCGAAATGATTAAAAAAATGAGTTCTTGAGAGAAATTTTATAATAAAAGTTTGTTAATAAAAATATATATCGATCCAAGCAAGTGCGATCGTTCCGAGTTTTGAAATGTGTATTAATATTGTTTAAACTTTGTATGCTAGTTCAATAAACTTTTTTCATTGCAATTTGCGTAGGAAAATGAACTGACCAAAGAAGATAAAAGAAAAAAAGGAAGAGATCGGCTATTGATCACGAAATTCGTTTTACTGTAAATCGACGAACTGCGAAATAGCTAAAATTTCCTTGATCCAAATTGGCTCGCAAGTTCTGTCTTTTTTTCCCCTCTTAGTCATTTTTCTTTCATCTTTCGAGTTATGTGTTAAGCGGATATTGCAGTATGATGGGTGATCGATTTAAGTACAAAGCAAACTCATCGCCATGCTATTGTAAATGTGAATAAAATCCCATAGCTTCAAACTTTTTAAATTAAAGTATTTCTTATTGATGACAGAAATATTTAATGA